CCCAAGCAGCAAAGGAGTGGCTCCCTGTTGCAGCACCGACTTACGCCTTGACCCTTTCTGCAGAGGCTTTCCTACAGCCCCCTTGCCTGTTCTCTCTGTCTGAGATGCTCTGCAGGACTTGTCGATCCTGGCCTGGGCAAGATGTGCACGCAGCTTGCAGGAGGTTTACAGGGCAGGTGATGCACCTGTCCTATGCATGGTGCTTCCAATTATATATTGCATATTTGGAGAAAATTTTCAAGCTTCTTTTGAGATGCTTTCCCATTCCCTGTCACAATGGTCCTGAGTGCTCAAAAAGGCCATTACATGACATATGACAAGCTTGACAAAGATCAGTTAATGACTGCACCAAGAATGAAACCCAAAACTTTTCACCTTGAACCACTTCTTCATCAACCCTGCTGGGTGCCCCCTAGGATGGCGAGAAGGCTCCAAGGTATCAGAACATTTCTGTGTTCATCTTTAAAACCAAAAGTAGCAGAGGCTCCTTCCTTTTGATTTGATGAATAAAACATCTCACGTCCTGAGCCCTTCAGAAAATTGAGTAGTAAGCTGTGGTTCTCCTCAAACCTTAAGGTGTGTGTGAATCACCTGAATCAACCTTATCAAAATGCAGGCCCAAACTCAGCAATCTGGGGCAGAGCCTGAGAGTCTACATTTCCAACAAGCTCCCTGGTGACACGTGTGCTGCTGCTTCATGGGATCCCACTTTGAGCAGCAATGAGATGGAGATGCTCATTTCCCTACATTTGCAGCATTGAGCTAATTGGACATGCTTGCCCTTTGCAGTTCCATGGAAGGAATTATGGCTTCCACTTGGCTGTTGTGGAAGAGCTTGCTGACACACAAGCTGGCAATGCTTGGGGGAAAGTTGTGTTGTGGATCAATACCATAAAAATATTTATAGCTTTTGGCCAAATAATTCAACTTATGGATGTGAATTCTAAATAAATAACCCAGAAAATGAAACACCTCTATGAACTATGATGTTCTCCTATAGCACTGCATGCTAAAAGGAAGTCTGTGTCTAAGATAAAGTAAATGATTAAATTATAATAAATTCTCTCAAGACACTATTGTAGACAATGTTTATCTTCTCTCTGTCCCCAAAGCAATAGTCACTAAAGGAGTAAAAATGGTCTGAACTCACCAGGTGAACAAATTAACGATGAATGGTTTCAACACATTTTTCCAAGATAGAAAAATCTACAGAATTGGGAGGTGTAAACACAGGCTCCTGTTTCTTTTGTAATATTTTAATTTTTTAACTGGGCAGTGAGTACAATCGTGATTTTCTGTTGTTTTCATATCTTTCTGTATGCCTGAAATATGATAAAATGTTATAAAATTAAGTAAATGGGGACAAGTGACAAATGTTATAACCTACATGTTGGGAGTGGGAGTATTGTAATGGAACCAGTTTGCCCAAACAAATCTATTCTTGGCTCTTGAAGGCACCAGGGACCTCAGGACCCAGGGACCATGGGAGGAAAGAATGAGCCATGGGGCTAACAGGGAAGAAGAGGAATAGTCAAATCTGGTTCTGGAGCCCATAGGTCTCCTGCCCCACTGGGAAACGATCTCTCCCATTCACCACCACCATAGAAGGGCCAGTTTATTCTCCAGAGCAGGGATCCTCAAACTTTTTAAACAGGGGGCCAGTTCACTGTCCCTCAGACCATTGGAGGGCCAGACTGTGGGCCCCGGGACGAGTCGGCTGCTAAGCAGGATAAGCAGCGGCGGCAAAAACACCCGGCGGGCCGGATAAATGTCCTAGGCAGGCCGCATGTGGCCTGTGGGCCGTAGTTTGAGGATGCCTGCCCCAAAGAAACGGAGCCACGCAAGCTCAGAACTCAGCATATCACATTTCATAAGAGGTCAGCTGAAAACAAGAGAATTAGTGGAAGCTCAATATACTGAACTGTGGGGCCTGTGAGAGCAGAAAGATGTGATCTCTATCCTCCCCATCATAAGGGTCACAGCTGGCTGACACTCTGATAACAAGAGATAGATTAACAAGAGAAAAGCATAACAAATTTATTTAATCAAAGTTTTATGTGACACAGGAGACTTCAGAAATGAAGACCCAAAGACCCAGGGAAAACTGTATTTTTATGCTTCCATTCCATGAAGAATGGACAGAGGCTTGTGATTGGATAGAGGGACCGATCTAATACTGACAGACTGAGGGGAAACCAGCAGGACCCGGCAGTGCAGATTCTTCTTGGCTTCTCTCAGTAGCATTTCTACCTCCCAGGCATGGGGCAGGGGCAAAACCCCTCTGGAATGAAGGTCTTCAAGAGAGAAGGAAGAGAGTGACCTTTCTAGGTTTGTGGACAGCTTTAGGAGAAAAGGGTTCTACACTCTCTGATCTCCCTTGAGGAAGAAGAATTCTTGTTTCTATGACTCACGGAGAAGAAGAGGGGCAGGATGGGAAAGGCTCAGAAAGACTTTGCTTCTAAGGCCTTGTCAGTCTCCTAATTTAGTGCAAAGTACTCAGCATGCTGAGGTGCCATACTTTGGGGTACCATGTTCTGAGGCCTAACAGACCCTTGGCCCCTCCCTGCCCCTAGTCCCGGGCCTCTAGGAGCCAGACATATATACGCACAGGCTGGAGACTGAAATTACAACCTATGGGCCAAACTGACTTCCTTCTGGTTTTGCAAATAAACATTTTATGGGAACACAATCAAATGCATTTGTTTGAAAGTTGTCTATGGCTGTTTTCTTGCTACAACATTAGAACTGAATAGTTCCAACAAACAGTGTGTGTCCCACACAGCCACAAAACCTAAAATATTTACTAGTGGGGCCTTGCAGAAAAAGCTTGAGAAAAATAGCTGACCCCAGAAGAAAGATGCCAGATTTCTCATGTGAAGCACTGGTTAAAAGATTGACAAACTGCCCCATAACCCAACAATGAAGCCATCGCTGATAAGGCCTGTCCACACACATTCAGCCTCCAAGCAGGTTTGAGGGTCTCACTCTTAAACACAAATGAATGTCCGAAGATTTTTCAGATACTCAAAGAAAGCCCCAGCGTGAAAGAGTTGGATCAAAATAAAAAGACTAAAAGGAGCTTAGAGGAACTGAAAACAATTTGACAATCAGAAGAAACTTACAATAAAAATGGAGAATTCTTATATTCTAAGATATAAGAAGATAGTTCATCTGTAAAACAATAGTGAACTCTGGAAACATAAGAAAGTGATGGCTTAAAATAAAAAAAAAGAATAGGTAACCCCTCAAACAAAAATACAAGTGGTTAAGAGATGGAAGGAAAAATTAAATCAACAGTTCAGGATTTCCAATATTTAACAAGAAAACAAAGAAAATGGAGGATAAGAAATTAGTGAAAAAAATAGTATAAAAAAATCTCTCAGGAAATGTCTTAGATATTGTACATTATCCCCAGAACAGTGAATGAAAACAACCAACAAGAGCCATAAAATTTCAAAGAGAAATAAAGAAAAGATTCTAAGTTGACAGAGAGAAAAGAAACTGAACAAAATAACAGAATCAAACTGGATCCAGACTTCTCAATAGTAACATGAGATGCCCCTCAAAAAGCGGAATAATGTCTCAGAATTCTAAAGGCAAACGATTTTAACCTAGTGTTCTATCTTCGGCAGTATCAGTTAAGTATGGAGAGAAAATAACAGCACTTTTAGACTTGCAAGGACTCTTGTGCCCCCTTTGTTAGGAAACCACTAAAGCAGTGGTTCTCAACCTTCCTAATGCCACAGCCCTTTAATACAGTTCCTGTGGGTCGCGACCCACAGGTTGAGAACCACTGCACTAATGGTTGTGCTTCAACACAACCAGAGAGTAACGCCAAGAGACAGATCTGGGAAACAAGGGCTCCCACACGGAAGTGAAGAAGGCCCAGGACAATGGTTTTACATCACGCCTGTAGAGAAAGCAGTCCAGATTGGAGCAAGATGACTTATGACTTGAGGCAGAGGACCCCCCAGGAGACAGGGGGACTGAACCAATCGAGGATTTGATGTGGTTAAGATGTGGGGAAATCATTGACTGATGTTGTATAGGTTTGTTAAAATTCTGGAAAAAAGATACTACTTAGTTGAATAGCAAGCAATTTCTATCTAGTTTAATAATGTAAACGCTGACCATTGATTTAACAACAATTGTTTGACAAGTCTATTTGGAGGATTGTTGGAGGAAAAGGAAAGGAGAACAGAGGACTGAGGAACAGAAAGTTAAATCGAAAACAGCTGGAAAAACATATCATTTAGAAATAAAAGTAAATGTTAGAAGGAAGAACCAGAAGGTGGAAGTTGATGCCTTTCGGAGAAGGGATAGGAGAAAAAACAATATCGCTTTTGGTTTTTTAGTATATGTAAAATCATTACATACTATTTTATTATTTTAATTACTCATCTACATTTTGATAAAAATTAAAAATAATCTAAAAATTAAAAAAATCTAAATTATGTTAATCTATAAGATTAAAATATCTATTAGTCTATAATTACAACTGAAAAAATTAAGTCGCTTTATTGAAAAAATGTTTGTATTAACTCCTTGAGATCTGCCAGGATGTAAAGTCTTTAAAATAAGAAAGTCCTTCAGTTGGAAGGGCTGGGCTGACAGGCAGGTGCTCCAGAGGCCTTGAGATCCATAGACTGGATGAGCAGGCAATACACAACTGGATTTGGACTAGTGTATCAGTAAGGCTCGCGTGACCAGGCAGAAATGCACCAAGGTTTAAGAGAAGAGTCAAGTAGGGAGAAAAAATATAAAGTGTATGTCACGTTGCACACTATGATTGCAACAATGTGGAAATGATATGTTCAGAGTGAGAGGAAATACGGACAAATGAAAACAGTAGGATTCGGTACATCAGAAATGGCGGTGAAGATCTTTTTTTTCTTTAATTTAGAATTATAGGAAGACTGCCGTGATACTTGTGTAAAATGGAATAAAAGCCTGTTCTTTAGGAAATCAGTGGCGTTCTCTGCTCTGCTTTCCTCCTGCAGCTTAATTGCTTACACGGAACAGTATGTGGAATACGATCCCTTGATAACACCAGCTGAGCCGTCCAATCCTTGGATCAGCGATGATGTCACTTTGTGGGACATAGAGATGAGGTAAAAAAAAAAAAAAATGTTTTTTCGGTTTGGGAGGAGAAGGAATGTAGGGGAAAAAAAGTCCATAAGATCGTGAGATCACCTTATCTCCTATCTTAATCTGACTCCTCATTGCTAAAACAGAAACCTGTCAAGTAACCTCCCTCAAGTTCATTCTACTTTTCCCCCGTTCCTACCCCTTAAGCTGTGATTTGTATGTGGATCATCTGCAGCTTCTCTCTGACATTTCTCTGACCCTTTGGGACAGTCCCTCACCATTCCCTGGATCTGATTGCTGGAAAGAAAGGATCTGTTGGCCCAATTTTTTCTTTTTTTCTTTTCTTATTTGCCTGCAGCAACAGCACCTGTAACATCTAGCACTTGTCCTCTGCTGGCAGCCCCACAGGAACTGTCTCCCCTGGAATCCTCGCACCCAGTAAACACTTTTACTCCCACTGTGGAGCAGATGAGGAAACTGAGGCCCAGAGGAGGTCCCGGACTTGCCCAAAGTCACAGGGGTAGTACATGGCAGGGCCTGGAAGGCAGGCAGAGGCTCCAGAGCCATGGTTTTCATCACTCTGCTTTTCTGGAGTATCTGGCAGCAGGAATCGCACCGGTGGTAGCTCCTCCCCTGTGAGGGAAGCAAGTGTGTTTACTTCCTAGCTGAGGAACTGAAGCCCAGAGGGACCTGGATCACTTTCAGACCCGCAGAAGGAAAGGCGCAGATCAATCTAGCGATCTAGCGCGGCTGCCTCCGCTCTCCTGCTTTCATTTCCTCTCTCCTTTCTCTGCCCCTCTCACACTGTCTTTCCCTTTGCTCTTTTTCTGGCATCTTTCTGGGAAATGAAAAACTTTCTAAAAAGTAATAAAAGTCAAAGACGCTCACTATTGAAAGTTTAAACTATCCAGATGTGCACAAAGAAAATAACTCTCTCTTCCTCCAAACCATTCCCATCTTCCAAGAAGAACCTTTGTTTATACCTTGGTGCTGGAGTTTCCCGACTGCATTGGGACACCCTGAGGCACTGCAGGGACTCTTGGGGTTGCCACGAGAGAGTCTAAATATTTGAAGGAAACATAGCAATGTTGGACATGGGTCAGATATTGCATAAACTACTAGATAAAGGTAGTTGAGTTTCTGTGGGTTTTTTTTTTTTTTTGAGACAGAGTCTCACTATGTTGCCCTGACTAGAGTGCTGTGGCATCACAGCTCACAGCAACCTGAAACTCTTGGGCTTAAGCAAGAGTCCCAAGTAGCTGGGACTACAGGTGCCTGCCACAAGGCCTGGCTATTTTGTTGTTGTCATTGTCGTCTAGCAGGCTCAGGCCAGGCTCAAACCCACCAGCCCTAGTGTATGTGACCAGCACCCTAACCACTAAGCTATGGGCACTGAGCCAAGGTTGTTCAGTTTCAGCATCAGAGAACATTACATCCCTTTCAGTGATGTCAATGAGGTCTTTGCAAATCTGAGTTTTCATAGCAGTCACTGTGATAAAAAGTAAATACTGTGCAGAAATCAACACGGACTAAGAAATAAGAGTGGTAAGGTACAATCTGATTCCAAAGTTTATAAAAATGTGCAGTGCACAGCAGGTGTGTGCTGTGGTTATTTAAGAATGAAATTCAAGTGTTTTTTTCTATCAATTTATATGTATTTTAAACAGCTACTAAGATGTGAAGACATAATATTTAGTTAATTGGTCATGACTTTAATTAATGAAGGGGCCCAGGGGAACCATGAAAAAAACACTAACTGTACTGTGAACTCAGAAAGTTCCAGTGTTTGCCCCATTGGATTTGCATTATAAGATATATAATATCTTATTCTTTTGTATAATTGGGATTATTATACATTTGTTGTCCAATTTTTTTAATCAATAATATATCATGACCATCTCTCCCTATAAACACATGTGGATCCACCTTATCCTTTTTAATAGCTACATATAATGGCCCATGGCATGAATGAGGTAAAATTTACCTTACCAGTCCCTTCGTCATAAATTGAGGTTGTGTCCTTTTTTTTTTTTTTTGCTAACATAAACAATGATTCAAGGAACATCCTGTGTACGCATCCAATGTTTTCTTTACTTTAAATTTTCCAGGAGGAGAATGAGGAATGGCATGCCTAATTTGAGTTCATGTTCCCAGATCCTTCTTGAGCAAAACTATAATGAATTGCTTTCATGCTCTTAGCTTAAAAGGGCCCATTTCCCTATATCCCAAGAATTATCTATCTTTTTATCTTTGCAAATCTGATAGGTTAAAGAAATTCTCATTTTACTTTTTATTTCTTTGGTAACGTATCTGAGAATCTTTTCATGTGATTATTGGATACGCATTTTTCTTTTGCGACTTGCCTGTTCTTTGCCCATTTTCCTAGTTGTCTGTTTCACTTTGACTATTGGGGTGGAGAACAGTCATATTAACAGTCATGTTAAATCATACATTTTAACTCTTCCTTGATATTTTTTCTGAATCTCATTCTTTCTTGTTTCTTTTCCCTGACTTCCTTTATTTACATCAGCTTCTTTCAAACTCTCGTTTCTCTTCTAGTTCCATTAACTTTTAACTGTTTTAACTGAAAATGTCATTAATTCATACAAATAATTGTAAAAAGTAGAAGTTTCCTTTACCTCCTCTGAGTCCCGTTCTTCCTCAGAGGAATGTTACCTTAATATATTTTAAAGCAATATTTTTTAACTTATATTTCTGTGAACATGGAAAAAATAAAAGTAGGCTGTGTGTATCTTTATGATCTGTGATGTGCCCTTGATAGTTCCATTTGATCTAATCCAAGAATTCAGCTCTTCCTTTCACTCAGGATTTTTTTCTCTGCTTTGTTGACGTACCCTAATTACTGCTGCTCTTTTGTCTGATCTGCCTTCACTTCCCAGGAAATCCTTTGGTGGAAACTCTGGGCCCCTAGGATGGAGCTCCCATACCGCTTACCTTTTCTTTGTCATAATTTCCATCTCTTAGTCTTCATTCTATATACAAAGGATAGAATTCCTTGGATTGCTCTTCTAGGTCACCAGTTTGGTTTTCAACGGTGTCTCTCCTATCCTTTTATACTTTAATGAGTTTTTGTTCTCCTACTGGGTGTTGAGAGTGGACGACAATTGTGCTTTTTCATTTCTAAGACTTCTTACTCTGGACTTTTCTTTTCCTAGTATCAGGCTCCAAATGAAGGTAAGGCACAGATTTTCCTCATATTGCATTTTTTTCACATGTTGATGTCTCCCCTCTGTATCTGCCTCTTCGTCTGTTTCTCTAGGGGCTACTTATTAGAGGATGGCTGTTCCTAGTCATTGCTTCCTTAATTCTGACCAATGCTCAGAGTCGATCATTCTTCTCACATGCCCAGGAATTTGGACGACTGCTCTGTTTAATAAATGAAGGTTTTGGCTTTTAATCCTGCACCACCTGGAAATTTATTTAAAATACTAATGCCCTGTCCCCACCCAGGGCCAATTATTTTAGCAGTTCTGGCAACGAGGCACTGGTACCTTTTTTAACTCTCCCCAAGTGACTCCCACATGCAGCCCTGGTCTAGGACAGTAGCTAGTGAGGGCTCCCCCAGCATTTGTGGGACCAGTGGTTCCTGCTGTGCACCAGGATTAGCTGGGGTGCTCATTAAAAATGCAGGTGTGGGCTCGGTGCCTGTGGCTCAAGCGGCTAAGGCGCCAGCCACATAAACCTAAGGTGGCA